TGATGTGTGTTTTTCCTGCCTTTTTGACTTTGCATATATGATTATGCCCCATTAATGAAGATATATTATCAAGTTGAGCTCTACTGAATGATATAAAATAGAACTATCCTTTTTATTATTTAACACTGAATGTAAATGACTCTAGCATAGCTTTCATAATACCCTAGTACAGAATAAATGTTCATAAATATGATGTTTTCTTGTTAAAATTTAAACTCCTAAAAGGCAGAGAAATAGAGAGTTTACAAAAAAATATTATGTAGATTGTCTATTCCCTACCACATTTTGTGTTTTACTTTGTGGAATTAAAGAGAAATCATGGTAGAAACTGTGTATTACCATATTAATTAAAAAAATAATTTGGCAGCGCCTGTGGCTCAGTGAGTAGGGCACCAGCCCCATATACTGAGGGTGGTGGGTTCAAACCTGGCCCTGGCTAAACTGCAACAACAAAAATAGCCGGGCATTGTGGTGAGCGCCTGTGGTCCCAGCTGCTCAGGAGGCTGAGGCAAGAGAATCGCCTAAGCCCAGGAGTTGGAGGTTGCTGTGAGCTGTGTGATGCCATGGTACTCTACTGAAGGCAATAAAGTGAGACTCTGTCTCTACAAAAAAAAACCCAATAATAATAATTAAAGTTCTTACCATGTGTCTGAAACTGCCACAGCTTACCAGAAATATCTAAATTCTTTTTCTCTGCCTTTTAGGAGTTTAAATTTTAACAAGAAAACATCATATTTATGAACATTTATTCTGTACTAGGGTATTATGAAAGCTATGCTAGAGTCATTTACATTCAGTGTTAAATAATAAAAAGGATAGTTCTATTTTATATCATTCAGTAGAGCTCAACTTGATAATATATCTTCATTAATGGGGCATAATCATATATGCAAAGTCAAAAAGGCAGGAAAAACACACATCAATGTGATAGGACAATGGCTGAAGGCTGTGGGATGATAAAGACCTACAGAGGTATTTAGGGATAGAATATGAAGTAATTTTCCATAGTTTACACTTCTCCAAAATACTTCATCACCACCCTAGCAATAAAGTTTTGAGCACTTTCAACTTATTTGTTTTTAAATAAGCAGCCAGTATATACAATAATGATAAGCTTAATATAGCTCTTTTTTTCCTGGTTAAAAGCTAAATGTAGCAACCTACTGTTTTATTCTCGTAAGTCACTGGAGCATCTTGTCCCTCTTTAGAACATAGAAGGTAGGTGTGATGACTAAGATAATAAGGAGCCAACAAAGATGTGTAACTATCACCTGAGGCCTACAGACAGCTATGCATTTTGGAAGAAATGCTCTGGAATATAGCGCTGTCCAGTGGACAGCTATATATTTCACTATGATGCGAATGTTCCATATCAGCACAAACAGGAAGCCATTATCCATATCTGGCTACTGAGTATTTCAAATGTGGAAAGTACAACCAGGGAAATTAATTTTTAATTTTAAAATGTATTTGTTTTCAGTTAATTTAAATAGTGATATAAACTTAAATAGCCACATATAGCCAGTTTTTGTAAACTTTTTAATTTGCTAAGAATATCCAATATATCTCTTTCATGCCATCCAATACTGATCACATTGGATTGAACAGAAATGTGCTGTTCAGGGATCTGTATCATTCAAGGATGTAACTGTGAACTTCACCCGGGATGAGTGGCTACGACTAAATGGTACTCAGAGGACCCTGTACCGGGATGTCATGCTGGAGAATTATAGCCACCTGGTCTCTGTAGGTGAGGAATTTTCTCCATGTTACGCCTAACAATGTGTGTTTCTTTTCTTAGTTTGTAACTTCCAGAATGTATGGGCCTATTGAGGAATTTAATAATATTCACATGTACATTTCTAGGGACAAAGATAATTGTTACCTTTTGGGCATAGAAAGAATATGTTCTTACTTCCCTAATGAGAGGTTCAAATGGGTCCCTTTATTGTGGGACTCCTGACACAGCACTTTCTTATCCTTTAGGAGCTCTAGTATCCAAGCAGCATGTCAGAAATCTCACCCCATATCTTGTTCACAGGATGTTGCATCACCAAACCTGACATGATTTTCAAGTTGGAGCAAGGAGAAGAGCCATGGACATTAGATGGAGAATTCCCAGGTCGAGGTTATCCACGTGAGTTGGTTATTACAGGGCCAAAATCAGGAAATCAGGTCCAAGGGCTGGAACCTTTGTACTGTGTCTTAGATAACCTGAGTTATACCTTCATCTCTCATGCATAAATACAAATGCTTTCCTTTCCTGTTTAACTTACAGGGACATTTACCATTCTTATACCTAGAATCTAATCCTTTGCCTGTTTTATCTCACACTTTTTTTCTTAGTTTCTCTAGTATTCATTTTTCCTCCATTTTCATGAACCCTTTCTGTTTTATCCCCCTTCCCCACATTAATCAATTGAAGTATTTATTCTCAAGATACTAATTTTAGGCCTACTCTGTACCCCTCATGTTCTTGTTGTTGAGAATATTCTGGTGAACAAAAATGTCAGGTGGTAACAAGAAAAAGGAAGAAAATTAAAATGGGCTAAAAGGTGATAGAGAGTGGGTTGTACTCTTTTAAAAGGTAGCTGGAGAATTCCTGTTTGATGATACCAGCACTACAGCAGATAGTTGAATGAAGCAAGGATGTGAGTTTGTGGCTTCTGGGAGTTGTAAGCAGAAGGAATAATGAGGCCAAGGCAGGAATTTATCTGAAGTGTTCTGGGACTAGCAGGGAAGCCAGTGTAGCTGCAGGGAAATATCCAAGAGGGAGGTATTCAAGAGGCAACCAAAGATGTCCAGTCTTTCAGGATGTGGTAAAAACTTTTGATTTTATTCTGGGTATGAGATGGGTAGCTATTAATGGATTTCAGCAAAAGAATATATTTAAAATGAATTTCTGGGCTCAGTGCCTGTAGCACAGTGGTTACAGTGCCAGCTACATAACTGAGAGTAGTGGGTTTGAACTTGGCCTGGGCCAGTTGAACAACAATGACAGCTGCAATAAAAAATAGCCGGGCATTGTGGTGGGCGCCTATAGTCCCAGCTACGTGGGAGGCTGAGGCAGGAGAATTGCTTAAACCCAAGAGTTTGAGGTTGAGCTATGATGCTACAGCACTTGACCGCAGGCAACATAGTGAGACTCTATCTCAAAACAAACAAACAAACAAACAAAAATATAAAAATAAAAAGAATTTGTCTGGCAACTGTACAGAAAAAATTAGAGATGAAGCAAGAAGGATCACAAATGTAGAAGCAAAATGATAATGTGAAATGCTGGCTACTCTAGAATACCAATGAAATAAACTTTTATAAAGGCTAAGTTGAATTTATTGCTCATCCTGACAATCTTAGTAGCATCTTAGAAGACAGTGAATAAAGTCTAATTATTTTGTGTTTGAGGGTATAATTTAAGGTATGGTTTTTAATGCAGGGGCTTGATTGGTGTTACTATTGGGTAAGGATCATGACAGAGTAATTTAGGATTTGTGGACACACCAAGGACTGAAGATTATCAGAATAAATAGCTATTTATCTATGGGAAAGTTGAGCAGGTTGTTGAAGAGGGTTTGGGGGAAGTGCCTGAAATGAACAATAAAGTTGTTGGCAACTGTTGTCTTCCTGGGTAGGAGTTTCTTGGAGTAGTAAAGTCAAGTTAATGAAGACAGTGGAATAAGAGTCATATTAATGAGATAATCACCTGTGTGGGTGTTGATGGATTCAGCTTTCACAGCTAGGAGATATTTGTCTGGTTCAGATGAGAAATGATAAGAGGCTTAGACTTTTAGGTAGTGGAGGTGATGAAATATGGCTGGATATTTTGAGATTAGAGCCGGTAGCATCATGTGGAATTGGTTATGGAGGGTGAGAAAGAGGAGTTAGGGATAAGCTCAGTTTTGTCTGAGCAACATGACAATGGGGCTGAGGATGTGTATACTGAGATGGAATAATTGCAGAGGAGCAGTTTGGGGGAAATATTTTAAAGAGGTTATTTTAAGGAATGTCAATATTGAGATGATTAGTTATTCAAGTTTAGGTATTGATTAGGTAGTTAAACATACAAATCTGGATTCTGGGAGAAGACAAGAGTACATATATAAATTTGAAAGTTGTCATTAAAAGGTGGTGTGCAAGGGCAGCACCTGTGGCTCAAAGGAATAGGGCGCTGGCCCCATATGCTGGAGGTGGCGGATTCAAACCCAGCCTCAGCCAAAAACTGCAAAAAAAAAGGTGGTGTGCAAAGTCATGAGAGTACCCTCGAAGAATGGATGTAGATAGTAGATGACAGAAGAGGATGAGCTGGGCCTTACAACACTTAGAAGTACTGTACTGTACATCTACCTACATGAGGTAGAAGGAAGCCAAGAGAGTTTGATATCCTGGCAGCCAAGTAATGGTACTTTTCTGAAAGGAAAGAAGGAATTTCTGGTTTGAATATAGAAGCATGGAGTCAGCATCCCCTCCTTTTCTTCTTGTAAGTCATCCAAGACCAACTAAGAGACTGAGACACAAGTTATAGACTCTTATTTCCTACAAATCTGAGTAATGGTTAAAACCTGAACCATGAAATAAGTGGATGAACTGAAAGCAATAAAAATTAAACCTGGGGGCTGTGCCTGCGGCTCAAGAAGTAGGGTGCTGGCCCCATATACCGGGGTGGCAGGTTCAAACCTGGCCCTGGCCAAAAACTGCAAAAAAAAAAAAAAAAAAA